AAATATTAAACATACGATTTCCCTGCAGCTTATTCATTTTCTAAGTAAATCCAAACAAAAGAAAATAACTTCTCTTGGCATTTTCTTTCTTTTCACTACTACTCCGCAGTACTTTTTAGGATTCAAATAGAGCCTGAAGGTGTGATAAAATACCTCCATAAGAATCCAGACTATCCAGTGCAAACCTAATCCCACATCCCCACATTAAAAACCTATAAATTTCCACCATAACCGTTCGAAAAGAAACTGTCATTTTTATAAATGAAGTTCTAATTTCTATTAAAATGAGAGCTTTATAATATATTATCCTTATTTTTATCTACTTTTACTTGATTTGACATGAAAGAAAAGTATATAGTTGCAATTAACCTCAATCTCACATAAATAACTAGTATTAAATACGAATGTTTAACAACCATACCATACATTCAAGTGCCGCTAAGATAACACAAACTATGAGAACATTTGTTATAAATACTCATTATATGGATAAGGGATCTAATTCAAACACTTCATAATTTACAAACTATAAACTCATTTGGTCATCGGATGAGTTAATCTAAATACTATACGCATCATTTTTTGGTAATAAAACCAAACTTTTTCCCGATGTATCACTTTGAACGTTAATATGCAATTACTTATTTCATTTGAGAATAATATGCAACAATTTGGACGTTACTATGCAATACAAATAGCGTAAAGACGCATGTACCTATATTTGCACAATAAACTCTGTTTGCACTTATCCGCCCTAATTATATGTTTTCTATAAATATTAAGCAATCGAAACAGATGTAAAAATTTGGAAAACTAATAATCACATTCGATTTCCTTGTGCATTTTCTAATGGAATTCCAAACAAAAAGAAAATGACTTCTCTCGGCATTTTCTCTCTTTCCATTAGTACTTTTTGGGATCGAAATAGTGCCTGATGAAGGTTTGACAAAATACCTTGATAAGGGTCCTCCAGTGCCAACCTAGCATGTGAATTGAGTTTGGGAGTTTTAGTCCGTTGATGGGTGGAGTCATGGATTCTTCTTTAAAAGATACTCCGTAGTATAAAGATGAAAATGTGAAATTATTACAAATAAACTTTAGTGCAAATTTACATAACACATACACAATTACACACATTAATTTGATTGGCATTAATTCATATTTGAATGAATGAATTTGGTGGTGAGTTTGGGCGTTGGAAATTAATCATTTTGAGTATGGACAAAATTGAATCGTGAGAAATGGATGATGATGATCGATGAAGAACATATCATCCAAAAATAGACCCAAAAATAGAGGAAGAGGAGGTTAAATGTAATAATTTTTGTGAAATAGTACTTCGTGATTGGTCGAGGATAAGTAATCCAAAAATCAATTAAAAAATAGTCTTCTTACTTTTTGAAGTGCAAAATTTGTAAAATCATCGCTAAAATAATCAAAATCAGCTAACAATTTCTTCCGTCAATAAATAACATAATCAACCCAATTAGCTAGCCTATCTTTGGCCGACGTTACACTGATTGGAACTTTGTTTTCTAACTTTTATGTGGAAGCATATTCTCGGTATATAATTTTTCACCATGACCTTTTGAATAAAGAGAAGGAAAATTCGCTGTGTACACCCCGGTTTACACACCGGTGTACACAGCACAAAAAGCCCCACCCCCACCCCTTTGTAACCGTATAACCCCCACCCTCTCTCTCCTCTTAATTTTTTTTTTCGTCTCTCCCTCCCCTGCACAGAGAAGAAATTGTCTGCTGCGAAAATCTTTCGTCTGTAACTATTCTCTCTCTCTCTGAAGAGGTGATCGAGCTTCTGCAGCGGCCATGGAAGCTAGTAAGATGTATTGCGGCGCCGACGAAGTTGGCCTGGGCTGGACATTTGAGGATATATTCGGTCCGAGTCCCGGGGACACGCCAGTGGCGATGGAAAGCTTTGAAGATGCGACGGAATTCATGAGGCAAGGGCATGAAGAGGCGGAAACAACGGCGATGAAGGGTGCGACGGAAGGTGATGAAGGGATGGCCGATGGGAAAACTGTGGATGGTGAGCATGGTTGGTGTTTATTTAGCATCGTTTCTTCATGGATATTATATGGTTTCTTCATGAGCGTTTTTTTAAGCATAGACAAATTTGTATTGTCTGTTTATACTTTATAGAGAAGTAATTTGTCTGCGTGGAGACATTTGTTGTCTTTCGTACAGACATTTTATTCCCATTTCATTCCACTATATGCGGTGTGTTGACACCATTGCCCGAACCAGGGAGTTGTCTTCCGGAGGCCGGGGCACCAATAATTCTGAATCCAAAGTGTTCAAAAAGGAAGGGTGCTCCCAGGAAAAACCGTTTGAAGGGGCCTCTGGAAAAGGGGAAAACGAAGTCAAAGGTATGTTGCCCTGCCATTTCTTTAATGTACAGACACTTACAACACTTTCGCAGATATTGATCACCTATGCACAGACACCTTACATTGTGTTCAACATTACTGATTCTTCCCTTTATTCCAGGCTAGTGGGCGTAATAAACGAAAGGCAACGGACACTGCTGTTGAAGAGGGATGCGCTGATCAACATGGTGTTGGTGTAGTCAACAATACTATGACATTACACTTTCAGGACGAATTAGATTTAAATCTTACTCTTTTTTGAATGTAGTATATGATTTGAATGATTTACATCCTGGTTTATGGAATGTTGTAAACAAAATTACTATTATGTGAAGGTAGGATGATTTGTGCTATTTTTACAAATTTTCAATGTACTGCTTTGTGATCAATTAGTTTTTTTTCTTACTCAATTATATACCGCAGACAAAATCCATCACATTACAGTCAATTATTTTGCATAATACAGACAGAATTATACAGAAAAAATGCAGACAAAATGCAGAATAATACAGACACTTAGTTTTTACTAATCAAATATATGAATCAAATGATAGTACTCCACAATAATACAGACACTTAGTTTTTACTAATCAAATATATGAATCAAATGATAGTACTCCACAACAATTATCATAAAATGTTGCAATAAATGCTTGCCGAAGTACAACCAAAATGCATATCAATGTGTATTACAAGCTACACAGACAACCGCAAAATATACAGACATTCCTGTACGTATGCCACAGACAAAAAAATATTGGAAGCACATTGTAGAATTATTGTACAACATGGCTCGGCCATTATTGTACAAAATACTACATCTAACCACCAGTATGTCAAAAAATACATCTACCCCCAATGTGTTTTTAATAATTACATATACAAAAATAATTGTTTTACAACATCGATCTTGCCATCATTGTTCATCATTGTACAGACATTTAGCTTGATTGTCTTTCATCTTCCATAGGCGTTTAGCATACTCACGCCTCTTATCTTTCATCGATCTTGCAAGGTTAGACATTCACTAAGCAGTTCTAAGGCATCTTCGTAGTCAGAGCGCACAGAGTATTGTACAGCAAAGTAGTCTTTGATGGGAATCTTCAATTCCATCCTGCAAATACAGACATTTGTCAGAAATACAGACATCTATGAAAACTATATAGACAACTCTGCAATCGGCAAATGCTTATAGACAAGTAAAAAATGAAAATACATATGCAATAACACACTACACAGACATCTATGAAAACCATAAAGACAACTCTGCAATGCACAAACGTATCAAAACAAACAACACAGACATCTCAGGGGACATATATACACAACTCTACAATCCGCAATTGCTTATAGACAAGTACAAAATGAAAAAAAACATATGCAATAACACAGTACACAGACATCTATGAAAACCATAAAGACAACTCTGCAATGCACAAACGTATCAAAACAAACAACACAGACATCTCACGAAAACCATATGGGTTTTGAACAACATTTTACAGATGGCTTTTAAAAAGTAAAAACGTACAGACAAGCATCACACCCACACAGACATCTCATACAAGCCATAAAGACAACTCTAAATCCGCAAACATATAGCAAAACACTAAACAGACATTTCAGGGGAAACCCACAAAAAGAACTCTGCAATGCACAAACATATAAGAACACAGTTTACAGACATCTTAGAATACACAAAACAACACACTACACCGACATATCAGAAAACTCATCTCAGAAAAAACACAACAATGAAGATGGTTATGAAGATCTTTACCTCTGAGCCAATTGAGTCAATGATGTGCGCACCATATCCTTCGAAATCGAAGCCTTGCACTTAAAATTTTAGATGAATTTCAACCTCGCCCTTCGAAATCAGTAACCGCCGTACGTACGAGTTCAGTGGAGTGAAGCGGACGACGGCCGGGGGGGTTTCGTGACCTGCGAACGGAGAAGAAGAGGGAGAAGGGTGTCAACTTCGTCGTAGGTGTCAAATTCGACAGATGAACGGAGAAGAAGAGTGAGAAGGGTACAGATGAATGGAGAAAGGGAAGGAGAAGGAGAAGTGGGGCGGGTTAGCTCAGAAGGAGGGTGGGGTGGGTTAATTAGAAAAAGGGGTGGGGGTGGGGCTTTTTGTGCTGTGTACACCGGTGTGTAAACCGGGGTGTACACAGCGAATTTTCCTAAAGAGAAACACCTATACACCACATCGGTCCTGAAAAAACTCCCATTTTTTATATCCTCAAATGAGGTTATAATTTCGATAAAACGAGAGTTTAAATATAATTTGCCTTGCTCTTTTGAAATTTTTTATCTTCCATATTACTCTCATCTCTAAATTATCTTCCAAACTAAATTGATGTGAGAATTAAAATAGTTGATATTGTGTGATGAATAGCTGTGCATAAGAAAGATAAATGTGTAAAATTGTGTAAAAAATGAGATGAACCAGAATTTTTTTGCCAAAAAAATTAAAATGGTTTTGGAACGGATAAAAAATAAATTTTAGAAGAGAATTCATGAATGAGGGTATTTGATTTGACATAAAATGAAGTTTTTTTGATTCAAAATGCGTTCACAGCATCGCGCTGCAATCAGACACATTGTTAGAGATGATTGAACTCTAAAGGAAATTTTAAGAACGAACACAAGTGAAAACCAAATACTCAGCACAATAATCTCATCATCCGTTTAGGGGAATAGCAACACAAAATTCAACATAAAAAACATAACAGTAGTCTGACAAGTAACCAACTACACTTGCTTTGCACGCTAGCTAAATTGCAAAAAGATTATGTATTTGTAGCCCTTGTGTATATCTGTTGGCTGGCGTGAGCAGACATCATCCTGATCAAACCTCTTTCCATCAATTCTGGGATTTCCCTCCTTGCAAGTGATCCACTAATCCTTAAACGATCGGAGAGGACATAAGGGGTGATGAGCTTGTATTTGGGAGCTTCCGATAAGAGCTTCTCATATGTAGCCTTGTCAAAAAGCACCATGTTGTTCACCTTCTCCTTTTGCTTTCCCTTGCTCCACTTCTTCTTTTTCTTCTTGCCACCACCGGTCTTGGCGGGCTTGGAGGCGGTTTGAGGAGCCTTTTCCTTCTTCGGTGCCATTGTCTGTGGAATCTAGGGGTTGGGGCAGAGGTTGAGCTCTGGGTGACTTGCTGCGAGATAGATAGACGATGGCCCTCTGATGTGAGTTTTCTCGCACTTAAAAAGATTGTAGAATAGTGGTGAAAAGTACGAGTATCGTCTCCACAAGGACAGAAAAAGGGAATCAAGAATTAATTAAATTCAGCGATTAAAAGGAAAATAAATAAATTAAAAATGCAAGTGTGTGAAATTGATTGGTGAATTAAAATTAAACTAATGCGAATGAACGATAAACTAAAAGCTTGGTTTCTTTCTAATTAACGACGAAGGGAACATGGATTGATTCATGTGTAACCAGATTTCTGGCAGAACATACCTAATTACATGAAATTGATTTAATTGAGTCTAGCTAATCATTACTAAGTTCTTACCGCTCTCGCGGTGTAGAGTACAATAATTAAGGGGACCAGACTGATCTATCATGCGACAAGATCCTAAATTATTGCCAAGATGAGCAAGCTTACGGCCCCTTAATCGCTACTATCTCTTAGCGAACGATTAAGTGTGTGTGAATGTGTCCTAGAATAAATTAGATCTCTCTTAACATTTTTTTAGATCTCTCTTAACATATTCTACAAGCAATTGTAATTCTAGCGCGCGTTCTAGGTTATAAGAGATATCCGTTAAATTATTCAAACACAAATTAAACGGTATTCATGCAATTAATCCATCAAGAATCTAGCCATAAATCATGATTAACCCCTTCATCAACCCCAAATCCCTAATTAAACTACTCACAATTCATAATTGAAGAATCAATAGAATTGGGATGAATAGAATAAATTGTCATTAATTAAAAAGATGAACTTACAAATAATCACAGGGTCTTGGAGTAAAATAGCGTAAAACAATGAATAAATTCGTCCATAGGCCTCTCCGTAATGTTCGTAACCCCTAAAAAGGGTTAGAGAGGCCTTATTTATAGAAAAGAGAGGAAAAATTCTGAATTCTGGCCGATGTGGGAATAATTTGCGCGTAACTCGGGGCTACGCACGATCGTGCGTCCCTGGCTACGCACGATCGTGTGTAGCAGGCAGGCTCTCATTTTTTCGTAACTGACACACGATCATGCGTCCCAGGCGCACGACCGTGCGTCTGTATTTTTCGCTCTATTCTCTTGTTTTCTTGCTCCAAACGCTCCCGGGTGCATACGAGGTCGATCTAAATGCTCTTTCTTCACCGAAATTTCATCTTGAATCACCCGGTGACCTCCAAATCTCTCGAATCTCTCTCGAATGCTCTCTAGCTCTCCCCGATTGCCTCTAAAGAGCCGATTGCCGGACTCTAAGGATATTTTCTTTTGGACTGAAATTTGCTGGTCTAGTCTGTTTAAGTCTGGTCTGGTCTGGTCTGTTTAAGTCTGGTCTGGTGTGGTCTGAACTGGTCTGATCTGGTCTGGTAAACGTCTGGTCTCTGTGTATTTTATAACTACGAAAGTCTGGTCTGGTCTGTTTAAGTCTGGTCTAGTCTGGTCTGGTCTGTTTAAGTCTGGTCTGGTCTGGTCTGGTCTGTTTAAGTCTAGTCTGGTCTGGTCTGGGACTGAAAACAGTCCAAAAGAAAACATCCTAACTTCTTCAATTTGACTCAAAATGCAACAAAACTCGAACTAACGCCTGGTAAACATAACTTGAGCTAAAATTGAGACTTGCAATGCCTTAAAGCAAAGAAAACCCATAAAATCCAACCCCAACATGCATCAAATGCGTGTTGAAATACGAGCTTATCACCCTCTGACATAAAATAAAGTTAACCATTAATATCAAACTTTCACAAAAATAAGTCAAACATAAACTTATTTGGAATAGAGGGAGAATATAGGGGTGTTTGGAAAATGGCTTATCAGCCAACAAATGACTGTTTGATCTAGGGGTGGACCAGGCTTGGGTCGTGACCGGGCCTAGTTGCGTCTTGGGCGGGTCAGATTTTTTGGGCATTAGGTCGGGTACCAGCCCGGGTCGGGTCATGTTTGTTTGTTTTCCTTGTTTGTTCCTACCCCCCACCCCCAAACACCCCCAAACCACCCAACCCGCTTACCCCCCAATCCATTCAAAAAAAAAGAATACTCTTTTTTTTTGCCCGAACCGGTCCCGGACTGGCCTAGCCGGTTTTAAGAAGCCTTAAGCCAGTGACCCGCCCCCACCCACCCCCGTCCGGGCTCTAGGCCCGGTCTCGGTCAACCGGACCGGTCCGGTACCGCACAGTGGCGGTCCGGGCCGGGCACTGGGCCAGTCCGACCGGTCCCGGTCCACCCCTAGTTTGATCACTTTTAACATTTTCGATAAATGAAAACAGTGTTTGATAAATAGATGTTCGGCTCTAGCGTTTTTAGATGGAATTGCTGGAAAAAAGCGTTGTAAATAAGAGAGTTTTGGATTAACGCTTTGAAATATGATGTTTTCTACTAATTGGACAAACAGTTACATTACCAAGAGCCCGTTTGGTAACACTGAAATCGGCTGAATCAGCTGATCCTACTGAAATTTATGAAGTTCTAGATTAAGTGGCTGTATTGGCTGATTCTGCTGATTTATAAAAAATTTAAATTTAAAATATATTTTATTATTAAAGAAAAGAAAAAATTATATGTAAAAATAGCTAATTTCAGCCGAAACAGCCAGAAAAGTAACACCAACTTTACTTTTTCTTATTATTACACATTTCAACGCATGAAATCAAAAGTTACGTGTTTGGTGAAAAAGTTGGCTGATAAGCCTGATAAGCCAAATAATAGTGCTATCAAACGGGCACCAAATATTTTCTTACAATCCGTCAACTTATTCCGCTAGCCAAGCTCGCTAATTGAATCAACTAACATAACCCGCTTTCCGCAAATCGTCAAACACAAGCCCCATATATAGGAAGTAAATTGAATTTTGTCACATAAGAAAAGAAAATGAGGTTGGCCATCATATTTTGCATATTCACATTATTATTCGTAAATGCATCCCACGCACAACAATGTGGAAGCCAAGCCGGCATAAACTTATTTGGAATAGAGGGAGAATATAGGGGTGTTTGGAAAATGGCTTTTCTGCCAACAAATGACGGTTTGATCACTTTTAACATTTTCAATAAATGAAAATAGTGTTTGATAAATAGATGTTCGTTCTAGTAGTTTTAGACGGAGTTGTTGAAAAAAATAAACGTTGTAAATATGAGAGTTTTGGATTAACACTTTAAAATATGACGTTTTCTACTAATTGGACAAATAGTTACATTACCAAATATCTTGTGACAACCAGTCAACTTATTCCACTAGTTAAAGTGTCAAACCCCCTAATTGAATCCACATAGCCCCTATTTGCAAAGGGATTATTACGGTAATATTACCAAAACATAGAGGATTTCTCATTATATGACTAAATAATGAGATTTCTCATAATATGACAAAAAACGGTTACCATATAAACATGACACCTTTTAAATATGCTTCTTAAAGGGATATAACCGTGCATCCATACCATTTCCTACTATTTAGGAAGGGTAAAAACTTCCTCTTAATACTCATGCACGTATTAGTATTGGAAAAAAACTCAAAGGACTCATACATTGGGAAATGATTGATGTTTTAGTCACATGAGAGATAATTTTGCCATTTGCAAATCGTCAAACACAAGCTCTATATATAATGTATATCCAATATTCCGCCACATATCGGAAGTAAATTGAATTTTGTCACATCAGAAAAGAAAATGAGGTTGGCCATCATATTTTGCATATTCATATTATTATTCGTAAATGCATCCCACGCACAACAATGCGGAAGCCAAGCCGGCGGAGCCGTATGCGCCGCCGGGAATTGTTGCAGCCAGTACGGCTATTGCGGCAACACCGCGGAATACTGTTCTCCGAGTTCCGGCTGCCAGAGCCAGTGTTGGTCGTCGGGAGCCGGAGCGCCTCCTCCGCCCGCTACTCCGACGCCCCCCAGTGCCGGCGGCGGCGATATTAGCGGCGTCATCAGCCAGTCTGTTTTCGACGAGATGCTGAAGTACAAAGACGATTCCCGCTGCCACGCGCCAGGGTTTTATACGTACGATGCGTTCATCGCCGCCGCGAAATCTTACGGAGAATTCGGGACGACCGGAGACTCGGACACGATTAAGAGAGAAGTCGCCGCTTTCTTGGGCCAGACCTCCCACGAGACTACTGGTTCGTTGCCTTTTTTGACTTTTTGACTTTTCTTACATACGTGACGTATTATACCATCATTCTTTTTTTGGCTTTGAACAATTGTAAACCACGATTCACCACTTCAATTATAAATCATACTCCGTATTTAATATTTAATTAAGTAATATTAAATAAAAATAATATAAACTTATAGTTTTGAAAATTTAATTTTAGAGGAATTTAAAGCATAGTCGTATTTTACTCAAATTAATTCTATTGCCTATATAAGTAGAAAATATGATCCAAATAAAGTGAGTGATGAAAAATGAAGTGTTTCAATTATTAAAGAGTACACGAAAATATGAAATACGACTATTGCTCATGATTCTAGAAAATTGCGTTTTAGTCTCAAATTCTCATTCATGTAATTGTACTCTACTATTTTCAAAACGAAAATATATAAAATTAAGATAATAGCAAGAACGTTTTCTTTTGAACTGTTTTCAGTCCCAAACCAGACCAGATCAGACTAGACTTGACTTCCGTAGTTATAAAATACACAGAGACCAGACGTTTACTAGACAGGGGTGGAGGTGGAGGGTTGGCCTACCGGGCCACGGCTCATCCCAAATTTCAAAATTGCTTATATTTTTAATGTAAAAATTTATGTGTACACTTTTTTATGTAAGAATTCTTTGTACCGGCCCAATCCAACTTTTATTCCTGGCTACGTCCCTATTACAAGACCAGACCAAACCAGTTCAGACCAGACCAGACCAACAAATTTCAGTCCAAAAGAAAACATCCTAATTGAACAAGTTACATATCATCAAATGTTAAATCAAAATATCATAATCCAATACTTTAGTGGGAGATTAATTTGGAACACCCAACATGTGATTTCAAGATCCACCATTAAGGTTACACATCTATTATAAACATTATACTCATTTTAATATAACACCAAACAAATTCATTTCAATAGTATGATGGAGAGCCATAATAGAGAGGAGCATGATCCAAAAAAAAATCTCTTGGATAACTTACCCAAGACTCATAACTCATAGGGGATGAACAGTACATAAGTATCATATATGATCACTATATACTACGGAGTACTTCGATTGAGGGGCGTAGCTCGAGCATACTATCTCACTAGGCTCTGACCCACATCAAATTTGATAAAAACATTGAACCCGTCATGTGTTAACATTTACTTGGTTTTTTACATATACTGACCCAATCGTTTAATCACTTGATCTTTGTACAAATACCGAGTAGACATAAATTTTTCAGTAATCCTAACCTGTTTTAGCTATATATTTGATTTGTTACTATTGAACTGTGTAAACAAAAAAAGGTGGATGGGATACAGCACCGGATGGTCGATATGCATGGGGGTATTGTTTTCTAAGAGAAAACACCTCAGATTCCTACTGCAACGTCACTCAAGCCTGGCCTTGTGCTCCTGGCCAAAAATACTTTGGGCGTGGTCCTATTCAAATCTCTTAGTAAGTAATTCACCTCAACTATTCATATGTTAGAATGTAGCCCAGGATTCATAACTTAAATATTAACCTTAAGACTATTCACATCCACATTGTCACAAACCTTAAATATGAACTCCGTTTATACGAAAACAATCAACAAAAAGCCTCCTAATGTACGAAATTAGGAGTCCGAAATGTCCACATTAACATTTTGGACTCCTAATATATTTGGACTACAAGTGGTATTAGATAGCTTATCATGTCTGATATTAAAAGTAGTATACTACTTTGGAGACGTTATCAATCATTGCTCGCTTAAACTTGATAGGCTATAATGCTCATATTAAGATTTGAAGTTCCATCCATTTATATGACATACACTCTTAATCCGTATATATGTTAGTTTGAATCTTGATATACTAGTATTAGACATATGTTTAAAATGATGATTTCAAAAGATGTGTAACGCAAGAAAAAAGTAGAGTTACTTTGAATTTGAACATAATTCAATCATGATGACTTCAATTTGTTGGATGTTGGAATTTGGCAGCAACTACAACTATGGTCCAGCAGGACAGGCACTTGGCTATGATCTTATAAGTAACCCTGACCTAGTCGCCACAGACTCGACCGTGTCCTTCAAGACAGCATTGTGGTTCTGGATGACACCTCAGGGTGCAAAGCCGTCTTGCCACGACGTGATGACCGGTAAATGGACACCGTCTGCCACTGACACAGCGGCTGGTCGTGTCCCGGGTTATGGGCTGGTCACTAACATCATTAATGGTGGGGTTGAGTGTGGTAGTGGCGGTGCGAAGGATAAAGCCGATGACCGCGTTGGATTCTACAAACGCTATTGTGACATTTTTGGCATAGCCTATGGAGACAATTTGGACTGCTCTGCTCAAACTCCATACACTGCGACTCTTGCTTCCACCTGAAAATAAAAACATCTTGTGTACTCAATCATAACAAATAAAATGAAAAATTGTACGCAACGACCTTCAAGACTGCATATGTTATATTATGCGAGGGCCGCGTCTGATATACGAATAATTTCATAACAATAATGTACATGAAAACAATGTGAATTATCAGTCTTGTGTGATGATAGTATCTAAAGTTATAATACTCATGTGATAAACATTGAAGTTTTGGTTGTGTCGCATTAGCAAAGATGGTGAGCAAAGTGACTCGGGTCAAAGGCTAATACACTGGAGGGGGTGCAATTAACGAAAATAAACGTTTTTTTAAATAACGAATATAAACGTTAACCGGTCTAATCCACCCTATCCTAATTAACTCTTTAATCACCCCACTTCTTTCTATGATCTCCAGAAATTTGGAGGATCGGATATGGCAAATCCCATTTGATCATGTTTGGATTCAACTTTTGACAAGGCAAAATGAATGGAGGACTTGGAGAGAACTGATAGTCATTGAAAAGAATTACATTTAGTCATTTAGATGAGCAATTATATAGAAATAAACAATTCAACTGAATGTGTATTTATTCTCTAGCGTAAGACTAACAAATACAACTATACAAGTATAATAAAATGAACATAATTTTTTTAATAATAAAAGTTCGTAATGTTGAAAACAATTGATTTAAAAAAGAAACGCACTTTAAGTACCTTCTCAAAGTACTCTATAATTTTAGTTTGAAGTGCGTAAATGTAAACACAAGTGCAACTTTATTTTAAAATTCATAAATGGAACCAAGGGGTAGTTGTCTCTATGCATACAACTTGATCAATATTGGTTGGTTGTGTGAATGTTCAAATTAAGGGGTGTCCCCAACATTGATTTTGATTGATTTTTAAAGATTGTGAATTTTATGGAACCTGATGGAATTCTATAGATTGTGTAAAACTCGAGTAGAATTCTATGTATTTCAATTTGATGGAATTGTGTGGATTTTAATGAATTTTAGTACTTGTAGAACTCTATTTTGTTAGGCAAAGCAGATTACTTCTAAATGTACTTGGTTACACAAGCACAACATGTCAATGTATAGGGATTTCTCAGGTGACTGAAGTACTGAACAACAAAAAACAGAAAATAGGTAGGTGATGCAGCTTCCACCACTTACAAAAGGAACAAGAAAATATAATATTTTGATTTCTTTCTTTTTTGGAGGTGGACGTCTAATTACCTGGAGGTGGACGTCTAATTATCTGCAGTAGCCATTGCATCATTATATGTCCTCTAATAGGGAGGGCCTACCATTATGTGACCCTTTGCCAGAAGCGTAGCACTACTCAAAGTTTATGACGTGGACATAAAAAACTATTTATTATTTTTTAATATTTTAATAACTAAATCCATTTCTCTGTAAATACTATATCTTTTATTACATCCTGAATTTTAGTATTAGTTTAAGTTGAAACTAGTTAGTTCGAGTAAAGAATGTTTTTGTAAATAAGTGTTCCTATATATATATATATATATATATATATATATATATATATATATATATATATATATATATATATATATATATATATGTATTGGTATCCTAGAATTATCTATTATGATATATGAAATGGAAATAGTCAAAATGAAATCTATCTAGGAACATATATCTTATATGATATTTGATTTGATATGGACAAATTTATCTAGGAGCATATATATCTTACGGTGTTTTTGACCCAGTGAATAATAAATAAGCTAAAAGTCGTTGTCATTTCACCAAAATTTTACGTAACCCTTTTTGAGATAAATAATCTTTTTTGTGCAATTTCAAGTGGGAAGTAAGCCGGTGTATTCTATTGGTGAAATTCCATATTTGAAATTCCACGGAACCTTTGTTTTGTTGGTTTTGGTTTTTATAAATAGTCGAAAGAGATAAGTTTTTTATCATAAACTAAATGAACTCCCTTCATTGATACATAATATGCATTTAAAATAATTTTTTAATAGGGTTGAAGGTGGTGGACGTCTCTTTCGACTAAACTGCCATAAGGTTATGTGTTTCCAATGCCAATAAAAAGCAACCCAACCAAGAGTATTTAACATCCAAAAAATAGCCAGATAAAACGCATCCCATGCTGAAATATCACAAGTACCGCCATATATAATAACTCCAACCAGTAGTGTTCATATGGCTCTCTTTGCCGGTGAGCAACACCGGAAACTTTCTATACCATGGTATGCAAGCCGGAAAACACAACACTATGATAGTGTTCATATGTCCTTTTGAGTTTGTTTCTTTTCTTTTGAAATCCGAGGGGTCACGCAATCTTTGGTATGTAAAATTCCATCAAAATCATTTAAAATATATCCCAAAATTTAATAATTGAAATCCATGGAATGACTGGAACACCAATGACTCCATAGAAATTTATATTGGGGACACAAATTATGACGGAATTCAAAATTCTATTAAAATCCATAATAATTCATGTTGGAGACACCAAACAATAGTTGTTTGGAGGTGCACAAATCAATGTTATTCATAGCAATGTACAAGTTTTTTTAGATAAATCTCTTTATAATAACTAGACAATAAATCATCTGAATTGGATTCAATATGTACACTTTGAGTAAGCGTTGTGTACAAAAAGATCTATTCTAAAAACAGATCATGGACGAGAGGTTTAAATGATATCATTAATGACGGCCCCTTAACACAGCATCGTGATGCTTATATAACTAGATTAGATCCGAAGAACCAAGAAGATGCATCAAATGACAAGAACTTAGATCTGCAATAATTGACTAGAATTGCAATTTAGTCGTTTTAAAATGCAATTGTTGAAACTGGGAAGGTAGTAAATACATCTAGCAGTGGGATGGTGCATTTATCAGGTACAAACACATTTGCTGTATCTGTTCACAACAAATAACAATTGATTATTCAGAGAATGAACTGGCTGGAGCCACCATTGGGAACAAAGTGAGACCATGCACCTCGTGTACACATTATAAAAATCCACAAATTGTTTTTTTCTTAACTACCATAACATCTTTCTGTATCTTGGGACTTGGAAATGCCTCATGATCTCTCTAGACCCCATATGCTTCTTCACTACTTTGTGTCAGAGGTTCTTCCTATCCAGACATCTTTGGGAAGGGCCGTCATTCTTAGTTTATAGTAGTACACTTACCCGACATCTTTTTGGGAGAATGAACCTTTCATAAACCTGAACTGGCTGTGGCCTGTGGCCCTATAATAATTGCAGGGTTGTAACGAACCGACGAGATTAATGAACCTGATTTGGCAATTGCCTATAACGAACCGTGTTTGAGCTCAACGAACCAAGCTTAGCGAGAATACGAACCACATTTAAAGTTTGAACAATTATTAGAGTCGAACTCGAGCATCATAGTGTTGAGTTAATGAACTATCGAGCCTATTGGACAATCCAAACCTTATTCCCAAAAAAATTGGGGTCAGCTAACATGAATCATCGATCCATGATATCGGAGGCAAAAAGAGAAGAAAGATAAGAAGAATAAAGAGATATAGTAAGATAAAATGAACAAGGTAAAGATAAATACTCTGTAAAAGATCAAAATAACATAAAAAATAAAAGAGATAAAAAGATAAAAGAACATAAGACAGATAAAAGATGAAAATAACTCTAAAAATGACTCTTGACAAATTGAGCACTTATCTTATAAAATCCTTAATTCAAGCATATTTGTCGAACGTAAATTGAGCAAAGCCGGGCACATCTTTTGAGTTCGTCAGGCCTAGAGCTCGAACCCGAACATTCCTATTTCAAAATCTCGCCAAACTCGAGATTTTCGAACTCAGCTCACATTCATTAATGCCCCTGACAAAGATATATTGGTTGGGAAAGTGAAAGTCTGTTTGGCCCAACAAATATTATTAAGCTTTTATTATTATATGAAATTGCAAAACATGGGTGCAAATGTGTCACAAATAAGTTGTCTTATTTTAAAAAAAAACCCCAAGAAGTGGTTACAACAAACAAACAATTTTTCATACAATGTATCCAAGAGTCCCAAACAAATTAAACATAATATCTAAACAAGGCACTTCTTGGGATGAGTGCAGTATTTGATATGGTACATTCATCCCGTACGAAGCAAGATTCTTTGAAAGCAACGTTCTTGAATTTCGGAAACTCTACAGAAAGTGTACCCCAACAAATGAATCTAGAGCAAACTTCCAGTTTTTCAATTCAAAATTATGTTTCAGTTGGTTGTGTTTCGTGTTCATGCACCAAGGTTTATCCCATTTTTCAAAAACTTGTCAAGATTATAGACCCATGCAAATGAAACCCCACATGCATTTACTTCACATGCTAACGTGATGGTCACGAAGCCTACTAAACTAAAAATTAATAAAAAATGAAAACAAGAAAATGCATTTTACCTGCCGTTTGTCTTCTTCAGATGTATCTTTTGTGTGTGTATAAAAGGAGCAGAAATGCTTGCCAACAAAACCAATACAAACCCTTTTATGAACTTCTACTCAATCAGAAGGATGGTTATTCTTTCATCACCAAAGTCACTTAACTGCTACCATGCCCGTTCTGTTAGCTTCCCCTGCACATCACACCCTTGCACAAACAAGATTGAACAAGTTCTGAACAGGATTAAATCTTGGGAGTCATCATCACCCTCATCTTCTCCAAAGTTAGAAAAGGTATACATACTTCTGCATGCCCTTGTAGAGCTCTATGAATGCATAGAACAACTTCTTGCACTTCCCATCACTCAAAGCCATCTTCTCCAACACCGTAATGAACGTTTGGTCAATCGGTTGCTGGAAGGATCCATGAGATTCATTGATATATGCAGCAACACCAGAGAAATGGTAATGATGTCCAAAGATGCCATCCGTGAACTCCAATCTGTCTTTAGACGAAGCAAGGGGGGAGATCGTCTGAGCCTTGAGAGTGGGATTGATTTGTACGCCCGTTCAAGAAGAAAGGTGCACAAGGAGATTGAGAAGACACTCACTGTGTTGAAGCAAATTGATAACAGAACGGTTTCCCGTTCAGATTCCAACATAATCAGAGTTCTCCTGGAGGCAAGTCTTGCTTCGGTTTCTACATTTGAGTACATTGTGATGTTTCTTTCTTCCATACCAACCTTGAAACCAAAGCATGGTAAACGGACATTGGTTTCCAAGCTTGTGAGCCAGAAAGGAGGATTGACCAATTACCATCACGGTAAAAGGGACGACAGCCTCGGTGATATGGACATAATGGATGCTTCCCTTAATGATTTACTTCTTCTCCACAAATTTGACAAGCAAGCACGAGCGGAAAAGCTCGATTTGGCACAGAGAAGGCTGGAGACTCTGGACATCAATAGTGAAATTCTTGAAAATGGTTTGGAGCATTTGTTCAAACATATGATTCGCATAAGAGTGTCCCTCCTAAACCATCTTTCTGAATAGAATTAGTAATTCCTTTTCTTTTGTAATACTTAGCCAGTTGTTGGATCATTAATTTCATTGTTGCCTGCATGTCAGGTCAAGAACTTTGGATTCTTGAAGCTGCTATGATGCATGTACATGACTACATGAGTGAAGAAAAGTATAGGAAACTGAAGTATGCAACATGTAAAGTTTGAGAAATAACTTGTTCCTTAACGCTACTTTTGACACTATGAAGATACCCCACCTGCGGGCGGATCTAGCACGTCAATTGAGTGCGGACCAAAAATCTAAGAGATCAAAATATACAAATTTGAAAATTAAGTCAAATCTAAAAACTAAAATTTCAATTCTTTTCTATAAACATTCCATGGACAAACTCCTAACTACTAAGGTTAGACCGATATAATATCTATAAATGAA